TGGGCGTATGTGAATTTGGAAGCAGTGACAAGTTAGAAGTGATATACGAGGGGAAAAATAATTTTCTCTCTCTAATATGACGTGAATGTGACGAGGTTCAGCAACCTTTAAGCTTGATAATGGTGGTGGTGGTTCATGACGACTCCGCTCACGTGACGAACGACCCTCATCTGACGACCCACGAGTGACTAATGACTGTGCTTTGTAGGTTGGTATGACGCTCAAAGTCTACGCGAGTGACGACGACGCAACGTGCTGGTGACTTCGCCTCCTGCACGCGGAGGTATAGCACAGGACACGGGAAGGAGGGGGGGAGAAAGGAAGGGATTATATAGATCACGTGACTTCTCGCAAATGAACTTTTTGGTGAAAAAATAATAACTGGGGAGGCAATATATGTATGTGTATATATATATATATCAAATTATATATAATGACTTCAGAGTTTCGACTGATACGTAATTTGTTGACTGATAGGTAATTTGCCGGTCACTATTTTGCGGCATTGGAAAGTCTTTGGAAAGCTTGAAGCAAACGAGTGCCAAAAAAAAGGATATTGATTATGTAGTATAGTCTAGCTTTTGAAAAGGCGTCGCGAAGCCATACTGTTCAATTCAGAGACAGGAGTAGGATATAACCGGAGAAATATATACATCGCCCAGGCTGACATAACGACATGACACATTTGAGACGACCGAGAAACAAGCGACAAACGGGACTGCAGGAGAACTAAAAAAAATAACCCACCAGAAATCTTTTGGATAAATCATGGAATTAAAAAAATAAAAAAAGGCCCCTTAATCAACCAGTGAGAAGTAATTAATTAAGAAATGACAGAGTGAGGAACGAGGTGGTAGTAACACGTTGTCTTGAACACGTAAATGTAATGGTTGTTGATGTAGACTAGGGGCGGCAGCTGAGAGTTTCGGTCTCTTGCAGGGATTCCTGGGAGACGGCTACAGGCGGCACTGCCCTATATGCGGCAAGGGTTTCGACCAGCCCTACAACCTCCAGCGACACATCCGTACACACACGGGGGAGCGGCCGTACCCATGCCCCTTCTGCCCGTACGCTGCCTCCGAACGCTCGCACCGCAAGTCCCATGTAGCCCGCCGCCACCGTCAGGAGTATGCCACTTGGACCGAGTAGAGTAGCCGCGGGAGGGGCTGGACACGACCGAGGGCCTCCCTTCTCCCCCTCCTCCGGCTCCTCTTCTGCCTCGCTCTTTCTCCTCCGCCCATTTCGCCTCGTGGGAAAGACACGTCGGTGAAATGGAGGGGAGAGAAAACAAGAGGTAGATAGAGGGAAAGAGAGAGAGATAGAAAGAAAAAACACAACTGACTGTGTGAAAAGAGAGTAAAGCAAAAGAAAGAAAAAGAAAAAAAAGCAGGAGGGGGGGAATGGAGCCGAATTTTTCCCAAACGAAGCCAAAATGCAGGCAGTCGGACAACGTGGGGGAAAGGGGGGGCTGTTGACACGCAATCACTCGCACGCAAACGTCTCGCACGCAAAAGCCCGAGTCCGAAGCCGTAGCCACACGGGTAGCGGTTGTTGGTTCAAGGTTCAGATGCTCTGCCTCGTTCCTCAGTGACGTATAGACTTGGAAACTGTTCATTGACTCTACGCAACAATGAAATATGAAAATAAACATAAACAAAAACCACAAATAACGAAAGAAAAGAAAATAGTAAATAAATGTTGGAAACCTACGGGATGTGGCATTCTGCACGTCATATACACGCACGCATCCGCTGTAACGAGTCCCAAGCCGGTGCCGGTCTCAGCCGAACACCTCGCGCGCGTGTGTGCGTGCGTGTGTGCGTATGTTCGTGTGTGAGGCGCACGCACACATCCGCCAGGTGCACGCAAGCGTCGTCACACGCGTGCGTTTGGGGAATCAATACACCTCACTCTCACTCATATCCGGGTTTGACAAACGAATATTTCGTATGGCAATAGTAGAGGTTCAGCTGATTTGTAATGAAATGTATGCTTGAACGTTAACTAATGTTCTGGAGTGTTAAGGAAAATGAAATAAAGTTAATAAAAAAAACAACTTGCAGGGATTATGTGCCGGTAAATGGGTTTTACATGCCTAATATATTTACTGTGTTGCTATATACTGTAAAAAAAAGCTCATTTACTGAAGAATGTGAAATTTCAGGGAAATATTTATACTGTTTACAGACAGATAGGTCAAGCGTCGAGCAAATGTACACAACACCTACATAGATTTATTTTAGTCTGTCAGTGACTACACAGCACTCATCCTCTTTCATGTTGCTTGTCATTTTCCCACAAAGTCATACAGTTAACTGCATCCCTCACTCCCTCCCACACAGGTCTTTTACTAATACTGAATGTTCTTTGTATGACACTTGGAACAATGCCTTTAAACTTTGTTCTGCTCATACTCCTTGCTACAGACACCACTCCCCTCCCCTCCCCCCCACACACATACCCCCTCTGTAGATCCATACTTTTTATATACACTCTTTATATATATGGGATATCAAAGCAGTTCACACACACTTCTTGCCCTCTGCCCCAACAGTCACAGCTCTTCCATTTAACAGATTTATTACCTGTTCACATCTTTTTCAGATACAGAATATATAGCCTGTATTTGGCTCATTGTATCCCCCCCTCCCCCTCCTTACACACACTTTCCTTATTATTACCCTGAAAGTCACATCATTGACACACCTGCCACTCCCTCCCCTGTTTTGATGACCATCTATGCTTGTCTGCTCTTAGCCCCCCTCCCCCCACTTATTTTGAATTCACACTTCATGCACTTTTATCACACTTCAATAATATATCCTCTTCACTAACATTCTTGACACTTTTCACTGTACACGAGGAAACATTATGAAAAAAAGGGAATGTATTTAAAAGCTGTCTTTTCACTGTTTTGAGGAGAATGTTAATTTGATATTTATTTTTTTAATCATTCTTATTGTTATTTTAGTTTTGACCAGTAATCACCTGTTGTAGATTTGTATACATAGAGAAGACTTGTCAAGTTTATAATGAAGAGTGGTCACAACTGCCCATATATGTAGACACTAGCAGTAATGGATTAATTTTGATTCATAGGTTTAGACTGAAAATCATGAGACTTCAGTTTTACTTTTTTGGATTTTATGTGGGTAATGTTTGTGGAAATTTTTGTTGGATCATTGCACACACCCTTTGTGAGTTTACCATGTTGTCTGATTGCTAATGATGCATTTGATTTTGCATACAATAAGCTCCATTCTAACTCCATGTTATTTTTACTATCATTCTAGTTAGAAATGTCCCTGAAGGAGGCATTTATTTTTTTGTAATTAAAATCAATTCACCAAGATTTTGCACTTCTGTTTCAAACTAATGCAAAGTAGCATGCACGTGTGGAGCACTGTCTAATCAAGGTTCTAGTTTTTAGGCCAATATTCTGGAAAGTTGTTGGCCGTCACTTTGTTTCCATTAAGAGATTGAAATGATAGATTGTGAGATAATGCAATTTAAGATATTAATGATTGGATACATTTTTTTTTTGTTTTGTTTTGTGATGAAATATTGATTTGCTGAAATTCACTGCTCTGTAAGATTGATATCTTGGGAAATGAGTTATCAGTGTTTAAGATGTGTATATACATATACATTTTAGACTATACAAAATAGCCTTAGTAATTGAGTAGCCTGTTAGATTTCTGGTGTTGTATCAAGAAGAGTAATTGATGGAAGGAGATAAGGAAGGTGACTTTAGGTACTGAAATATAAAACTTTTTTTTTTTTTTCATTTATATTCTGTTTTCTAAAAGCTTAAGATTGTAGTATAGTATTATTAGTATACTTATCTTTATGATTTAGTTTTCTATGTTCATTTTCTTTTGATGATGATTGGTACTGCTCAAAATCACCACCAGGAATGTTTTTTTAAGAAATATGTAGCAATGGGTGGGAGTCTTGTACACTGAAGTAAAGAAAGTATGTGGGGTTTGAAAACTACTATTTTTCCAAACACAAAGGAGTAGATGTTATTCTAGGTTTGTCTTTTTTTAAGAGCTTATGATGCTGTTATTTTACTGGACCTTTGCACATTGAATAATAATAAAAAAAAGATATCTTTGATGTGTTAATATATTTTGCTTTTTGTCTTATTTTGCAACCCAGATTTCAACATGTCTTACTTAAAACATTCTTGTGAAGTACTGAATTCCGTAACACTTTTTATGTTTGTAGTATCTATTAAAATGTTTGAATTTTTGAAGCAATACTCTGGTATTTGATTTGATGATCCTACTAAAACTAAGAGGAAGAAACTACTTTCCTGGTTCATGTGTCTTTCCTCAATAAAGAAAGGGGGAGAGTAAAAAAGAAAAAAAAATTGTTATTGAAGGAAATTGTGATTCTGACAGCAGTTTTTTTTTAATAATTTTTTCATGGACCTGGCTAAATGTGGTAGAAAAGAAGACAGGTCACAGAATTACAATATTTCCTTCAGTTGCTGGCAGACAAGTTATGCCCTGAAATCAAAAAGTCTGGTGTAATGAAAGAGAAAGCATTTAGGATATTATGTAAAAAATAATTGAAAATGACTCTTTGGGACCTGTTTGGTAAGAAATTTGCCCATGACAGGAATGTATGGAAAACTCCACAAGAATTCATTGTATTTAAGAATCATGCAAAATCTCAAAATTACCATGAACAGTCTGGTTCCATGTGTTTTTCTGTCTTTTTCATTAAATGGGAAGACCTTATACATGCCTTGCCATATCTTTGAACAATTGTTTGAGTTGAGCAGCTTTGATTACATTAATTATTGAAAGTAATTGTTATTTTTCTTTACTCTCTAATTTCATTAATAATCATTGTCATATCCAGTTCACATGAAACTTACTAGATATTTTCTAAATCTCTAAAAGTTTATGGAATGCTATTTTTATATGGTAATCAGTTATTTGCTCACCCCCCCCCCTTTCCCATTTCCTAAATGCTCTTCCTGATGATGGTGCTCCACATATTTTAATTCATGATATTTGTCCAAAATATTTGAAAATGCTATAGACATATGAAGATGTGATTTAACCCTTTGTGATGTCTGTGCATCATTCATTTCTTATTTTTATCATGGAGGAAGTAAATGTCTTGAACAAGAGTATTATTTAGTTTTTCATTTGTATTCCTCAACATATTAAGGCCATGTGACTGTGGGAGGGGAAGGGAGATCATTGTTTTGATTGCTTTTTGTGTGGTCATACTAAATGCATGGTAATTTATATTTAAGGGGCATTTATAAAACAGTTTACAGTCAGGATTTGCCACAACAGGAGGAGATAAGGAAGGTGGAATGAGAGGTATAAAGAAAAACATAAATGGAAGAAAAGGCATGGCTGAGGTGTTGTGTGGTTGTTGCAGGGCGTGGGCGGGTGTGGTCTGGCTGCCGCAGAGACCCGTCGAATGTGGACTAGCAGTGGCAGCAGCAGCAGTGGTGCCGCCAGCAGTCATGCTATTGGTGTTGTAAACTCTGCAGGTGGCACTCTTAATTTGGAGAAGCAACAACTTATGCTGGCTGTACAGGCAGTGGCTGGGGGGCATATGACAGGTCGGCAAGCAGCACGAGCCTTCAATGTACCTCGCACCACACTCCGGCGCTGGGTCACCCACGATCGCCGCCTCCACCCATGTCCTTATTGCCCCTATCGTGCTACCGAGCGATCCCACCTCAAGAAGCACCTTGCTCGCCGTCACCGAGACTTACCCGACCAACACAGCTCAGCCATGCACCCCGTTCACCAACTCCCCCCTGAACCTGAATCCCCTCCCCCCCCGACTGTGCCAGTGGTAGCCTCGCAACCTGCATCCACTCCCCCTGTCTTTGAATCCCAAAATGAAGAATCTGCCTTATCCACAAATGTCCCTTGAAGCAGTTATGCATATATTGTTATCATTCCCCCTCAGGACGAGGCTGAGGGACCTGTTTTGACTTTTGAAGTCGGAAGTACCATAGAACAGACTTCTTTTGCTCATATCAAACTCATACTACACTACATTTGAGAATTACAGTAGCTAGTGTATAGCAGGGTATGGTGCCAAAGTGGTATAAATTTAAGCTTTCTTTCTAATGACATATTCTTAGGAGAAAAGTGCTCTTCCAGAAAGATTTAAGTAGCATAGTGGAGATTTTAAATAAAGAAAAAAAAAATTGCATTTGACCAGTAAGCCAAAGCAGAATGTGATACTAAGAGCATCCTCAGAATAATTTTCCATTAAAGAAGTGACACCTCATTTCAAATATCTGAAATTCTTGCAGGAGAATTCACATAAATAGAACCACAGTGCATACTGTGTTTTTCAATTTTACTTTTGATGTTCAACTGATTTGCTCAATGTGAACCTCATACTGTATCAGACAGTTACAATGAAACAGAATACCTTGTGAAGGAAAGTAACAAGCATAAAGCACTTTGAAATCAAACTCACCAGTATGATAAGCCAGTGAGTAGGAAAATAAATATGTACTAGGTAGCAAACAGATGAATATTAGGATTACCCGGAAAATGAACTATTCCCATCACAAACCCATACATACACATGCACATGCTCATGCACAATCACACATACAGATGCATATATGTATATTTATCTTGACCAGCACAGCTTTACATAACAAATTTATACTGATACATGCCATTTTTGGACAGATGTATATCATTTTTACCCACAGAACTGGATACACACATGGAATGTTCATAGTATTAATTTGTATATTAGAAACATTGTTATTTCTTTCCAAATACAACATTATTTTGTGTAGTCAACTGAGTTTACATCTTAGGGAAAGTATTAGCCATTATAGTCCCGTCTTCGTTGTTGACTTATTTTGATCTGTTATACATATCTAGATCTGCAGGAAGTGAAATTTATCAAGGTAGATGTATTTTCTTAAAAGTAGTTAGGAGATTTCAAAGATACAGTGCTATTTTTATACACCTGTGTAAGTTGTTTGAAGTTTATTTCAGATTTCAAGTTGATTACATAAAGTAGGAAAAAAATATAGATATTTGTTTTTACTCTACAAGATTCTAGGAAAGAGATAATGAGTTACGTTTTTGCAGGAATAGTTTGCCTGAAAAGTACATTATAAAGTCCTAGTTGTGATGATAGTACACTATAGACAGTTATAGATGATTATATTTATAATTTATGATTAGCTTAGTGAAATAGTTTGTTGATTTGGTTTGACTGACTTGTGTATAATAACTCTCTTCTGTGGAGTTAAGCTCTGTTGATATTAGCTAGTTAGTCATTAATTATAGGCACCTGTTACGTCATTACGTGTTATAACTTTTTGTAAGCATTTCCAAGATACCTGTCTATCAAGGAGATACAGTAGTAAAGAGAAGCTCTGTGGTGTATATATGTTCAGGTGGTAGTGCATATAATGTGATATAGTTTTGATAGAAATATAGTTTGAAATATCGCTTGAGAAAATCAAAAGATGGCCAATTCAGTACATCAAATTTCTTCTTATTTGTGATAAAAGTAAATGTCTTGGAAGCAAGATATTAACCAGAACAGTTATGTGTATAGTAGTCATGCAGTGACAATACTGTATATTTATTATAAAGTCTTTCATTTTCTTTTTATACTATAGATATTTATATAGAGCAGAAGGTAATGTAGAATATTTTTTGTCTTAGCTTTGGAATTTACTAAATGTTATATCTCATGTAGACAATCAACATGGAATGTGCAGGAACCAAATGAAAATGTAGAGTTATCTAGTGTACTTATGTAGGAATCTCTATTCTTGAATAGCTTGAATTGAACATGCAAAAGTACTGAAGATTCAGTAGACTAATTTTGAACATGTGCCTAAGAAAATGTAGGTTCTTAGGTCAGCTTGTTATATGATTCCCTCTCCTATTTCCATGTGTGCTTGGGTGTGCATGGCCATGTGTTTGTGTGCATGCGTGTGTGTTTGTGTGTGTACGCAATTCATGCACTTGTGTGTTTCCACTGTGAAAGAGAGTGTGAGTGAGTTTCACCAAAAATAATCATGTACTAGTTTTGCCTTTAAGATACAAGGCAGATAGTTTGCTTTGATAATTAGAGCAAGTAGCAGTAAAGCATATATATTTGAATTCATCATATAGAAAATTAGATACTCATGATGCTTTGATAATGTTTTCTAGTTGAAGATGTACAAAATTTTAGCAGCCTTTTGTTGTGGGGGACTAATCTAACAAGCAGTTGAACTTTTCACATGCATATCACCTAGTATAGATTGCAGTGTCTTAAGTAACATGCAGTCCCCTCATGCATTGAGTGTATGAAAAAAAATTATGTTTAAAATGTGAGGCTGTAACTAAACTCTTTGAGTAATATCAATTCAGAGTGTTTGTCTGTCTGCATGTGTGCCTGTTTTTTTTTTTTGTTTGTTTTTTTGTGTGTTTGTCTGTAACTCTGTGTGTGAAGGTATATGTGTTTATTATAAAGCTTCAAAAGCAAAATGTGTACAATTTTCCCCTTTTACAAATGTTAACTCTTTCTAATTGTGATTTCATGCCATCTTTCCAAGACAAAAGGTATATGCTACATTGACATGGAGAGGAAGTATCTATTACAGTATTAGCAGAATTCAGTGACATGTTTCTGTTTCCCTGAAGTGAAATGCATAACAGTGGCGTGTTTTTTTAATATATAACAACTGTTAAAGTGGAATTATCTCTTTATCTGTTTAGTGACACTTGTTAGATGTTACTTTCATTATTACAAAACTGGATGCCTGTTATATGTCTTTTAAGTGTTGGTACGTGTGATATGTTCAATAAAAAAGTACATTTAAATGTTTAACATCAGTTTTCTTTTATCCTGTTTTCTTGAGGACAAATTTTTTTCCCGTTTGGAAAATTTTGATTTTGGCAAGCTGTTTTGTTGTTGGGGTGTTTTTATTATTATTATTATTATTATTATTATTATTATTATTATTATTATTATTATCATTATCATCATCGTTATCATCATCATTATTATTATTGTTATTATTATTATTATTATTATTATTATTATTATTATTATTATTATTACTATTATTATTACTATTATTATTATTATGACTATTATTATTACAAATACTTTTTTTCTATTCATATATCATTATGATTTTAAGTTATTGTATATCAGTTCTTAAAAGACCTGATATATGAATAAAAATTTTGGAAAAAGTTGGAAATCAGCACATATGGACACATGCATGCACACACACACACACACTTACATGCAAAAAGAAAGGAAAAGTGACAAAAAGTAAAGAAATAAATTGATAAAGAAAGAAAGAAATGTACACAGGAAGGACCGTGCCATTCTTGTGGTATTTTCCTTTTGTCTTGTATTGCTTCACTTATTTTCATCCTGTTTCCGTTACTGGAGCATATTTATGTGTATTTATAAAATATACCCAAGTTTGAGTTTTATTTCCGCACAGACAGAACAGTTGACAAGCTGCCCCTATCTTTACCCACAACCCCTTTGCACCCTCCACCTTCGTTTTTTCCCGTCTTATAGATATATGTATATATATATGTACATTTTTTACTAGTTTATAGTAAATGACTGGACTTCTGACTCAATCACGTTCACCACCGTTTCCGTTGTGACTGGTCTTCCTATCTGGCCTGACTTGACGTTTTCCACTCCTCCCTGATCTTCGGACTTTTGGCTTCTTCCTGTGATGGATGGGCTCTGGTTTAGGGTTACTGGACTAATGGAAAGGGATTGGTTGGTTCCTATAGGGTACTGGTCTCTGGTTGGTGGCAGGTTAAGGTTATTTAGACCCAGTTTTGACCCTACTGGTATTTTTGTAAAGTCTGTGACACTAAATCTTCTCGACAGGATGAACTTTAAAAGAAAAAATTTCCTTAGTTCTTTGATTTTGTTGGTGCAAATTTAGCTATAGCTATGAATAGCACTGGGGGTCAGTTGGCCGAAAGTGTTGTAGGTGTTTCATAAAGCATTGCACTTGAGACTTTGGCTAGGGATTTGACTTGAAGAAAACTGACTTTTTGAAAGGTTCTAATTTGTCTTAGTGTTTGATAGCTTTTATATAGACAGATAGTATGAATATAGGCATTTATCTTTTTAGATTTTGATTTTCACTCATTTATTTATTCTTTAAGGTACATATTTTACATGTTACATTAAATGCTGAGTGCAGTTTCATTTTCACATGAGAAAATAGAAAATTAAAAGCAGGATTGGGGTATGATAATTTTTTTCAAAGTCCTGCCAAGCCATGAAGTTTTTCAGTGCAAAGCATTTTAATATAGCTAGTTAGATTTTTGGATTCCATATGACTTACTGAGAGCAAAGCTTAAATACGTCTTTAGAATCATTACTAGTAACATTTGATAGAACAGTATTCTGTAGGAGACATTCCAGGATTTAATTAATGATTATTGCAGTGATACCCAGACCCTGACCCTGACGTGTGCTAGATGCCCAACCCTTTCCACTTTTGACATTTTACTCGACTGACAAAGGACTTGTTTTTTGTAGGACTGGGATCATGTTCGTCCAGCTGCCCTCATTCCTGTGGTGGAGATACGCCAACCTGTTGCCGCAAGCACACACACACACACACACACACACACACACACACACACACACACACACACACACACACACACACACACACACACACACACACACACACACACACACACACACACACACACACACACACACACACACACACACACACACACACACACACACACACACACACACACACACACACACACACACACACACACACACACACACACACACACACACACACACACACACACACACACACACACACACACACACACACACACACACACACACACACACACACACACACACACACACACACACACACACACACACACACACACACACACACACACACACACACACACACACACACACACACACACACACACACACACACACACACACACACACACACACACACACACACACACACACACACACACACACACACACACACACACACACACACACACACACACACACACACACACACACACACACACACACACACACACACACACACACACACACACACACACACACACACACACACACACACACACACACACACACACACACACACACACACACACACACACACACACACACACACACACACACACACACACACACACACACACACACACACACACACACACACACACACACACACACACACACACACACACACACACACACACACACACACACACACACACACACACACACACACACACACACACACACACACACACACACACACACACACACACACACACACACACACACACACACACACACACACACACACACACACACACACACACACACACACACACACACACACACACACACACACACACACACACACACACACACACACACACACACACACACACACACACACACACACACACACACACACACACACACACACACACACACACACACACACACACACACACACACACACACACACACACACACACACACACACACACACACACACACACACACACACACACACACACACACACACACACACACACACACACACACACACACACACACACACACACACACACACACACACACACACACACACACACACACACACACACACACACACACACACACACACACACACACACACACACACACACACACACACACACACACACACACACACACACACACACACACACACACACACACACACACACACACACACACACACACACACACACACACACACACACACACACACACACACACACACACACACACACACACACACACACACACACACACACACACACACACACACACACACACACACACACACACACACACACACACACACACACACACACACACACACACACACACACACACACACACACACACACACACACACACACACACACACACACACACACACACACACACACACACACACACACACACACACACACACACACACACACACACACACACACACACACACACACACACACACACACACACACACACACACACACACACACACACACACACACACACACACACACACACACACACACACACACACACACACACACACACACACACACACACACACACACACACACACACACACACACACACACACACACACACACACACACACACACACACACACACACACACACACACACACACACACACACACACACACACACACACACACACACACACACACACACACACACACACACACACACACACACACACACACACACACACACACACACACACACACACACACACACACACACACACACACACACACACACACACACACACACACACACACACACACACACACACACACACACACACACACACACACACACACACACACACACACACACACACACACACACACACACACACACACACACACACACACACACACACACACACACACACACACACACACACACACACACACACACACACACACACACACACACTGCCGCAAGCACACCCACAAGCATCGCTCAGCTAATGACTGGTGCCTGTCCGAAGACTGCTGCCATACCTATGGGCCCAGCTAGTGGGGCCTTCACTCCCTACACGGCCTCAACCTCCCCAAGGGGCAGTACCCCAGACTTGGCTCAGGTGGCACCCGCCGACAAGCAGTCCTTTATGTGCCCCGTGTGTGGGAAACAGTTCGGGCAGCCCTACAACCTGCGCCGCCACCTGACCACCCACACGGGGGAGAGACCTTACCGTTGTCCCCACTGTAACTATGCCGCCTCCCAGAACGTCCACCTGGAGAAGCACATCCGACGCATACACTTGAATAACGGCCAGAATGAACACCCGACTGGGCCGGCGGTCACTTGGCCCCTGCAAGCCACAGCTGTAACTCCTTAGATAAATTCTCATAGCTGCACATCATGATAAGCCATGTGATGACAAAAGTGATAAAATGCATATATCAATATTTCGTTATTACTCAGATGGTCAGTGTTTTTTTCTATCATATCTAGAGTTGTCTATGAATATTCAGAACAGAATACAATTTATAGTAAAACTTACTTTTATATCATATCTATTCCATATACTACTTTTTATATACAATGATGCAGTATACAGAGGCCTTTGATTATTTTCAGAAAATATTTTGGTATAAGGATAGTGAAAGTTATTTTACAAACATTATTCACCCATTTGTTGGGTGGCCATCAGAGAGACTAGTTCAAGTGGTGACAAAGCCGAGAACTATGAATTATATCCAAGAGTCTTCTTTAGGATACTAGCTCTTACATATGGAAACACTTACATGAATACATTTTCTAAGAGGGCTACATCTAATCTCCTAGGTATCGTACAGTATTTGCAGAGTTGTGAAAATACAACCAAAAAAAAAAAAGAAAAGAGAAGAGAATGACAGACATATACTACTGACATAAACACATACACACGCACACACACACACACACACACACACACACACACTTGACGCACTTCAGACACTAAGCCCGGACATGCTTTTTGCACAAGGTAAACATATTTATCGTAATTTATTTTTCCGCATTGGTGATAAAGCACCGGGCGATGACAGTGCTTGACAGATTTTTTTCAAGAGGTTGTATGATTTTCATTGCAGTATGATCCCTGTATTAATGCATGGTTGTTATTTTGCGTCTCGTTGGCTTGTGGTGGACATAGAGTCCTCACACTGCTGCAGAAGGAGACACAAACTTACTTTCTCTTTTATGGTTGAATAAGAAATTAGGTGTTTTAGTTTGCTGGAAGTGATGATGATATAACATGCTTATATATATTACAAAACAAAAAAAAAAAAGAACAGAAAAAGTATACTCCATATAAAAGCCCATTTGTCTTTTAAGCATTTTGTATGTGTATACTTCTTTTTATTTATTATTTTTTCCCTCTCTCTCTTGTGGCTTAAAAACTAGATTATTAGGCTTAGGGCTTCCAGATGATTTGATTTAATAAAACCAGAAAAAAAGAACAAAAAAAAAAAAAAGCATTAGAAGCATGTATTTTATAAAATATTTCTTCACTTGAGCCACAGATAGCCACTTCAAAAATTCTCAGAAAGTGTTCTTATTAAGTCGTATTTATTTTATCATTGCATTATATATCAACATATTGGGTTGGGTTAAATGACAAACATGATTAATTTATTTTTGCATGATTTATGTTTTAAGGTAATGATTATATATATATTTAGGTTAAGCGGTTGTAACACCATTCTTGAAAGAGCTATTGAGGTTAATCAGTCAACATTTTCTTCATGTCCAGTCAGCAGATCTTGCTCTTTGCTCAATGACCAATTACAAGAGAATCCCAAAGTACGTTCCAGTCCCTCGAATAGCATCCTTCAGAATTTTTTTACCTAGTTTTTAAGGCGTTCAGTGTAAATGTTAAGTACTCAAGGTTCACCGATCAGCCAGTCTTTCACACAGTTATCTGACCAGAGGTTCTTTTTTGTAAATACCTCAATTGACTTTTGTATGTTTACTCTCAAAGATGCTTATTTATACATTAGGGATAATGATATTTTGTGTAATGATGAAATTGACAGTGATGGTTGGTCAAAATGCAAGGATGAACTTCTGAGTATTTGATGATATTATATACACATATATTTATATACCAAGGCTTGTAGCCTAGATCCTAATGCTTGATATACCCTGTGCTCAACACTATGCAAAAATCGAAAATCCATTATTATATTGTGTTTACAAGATAATTCTTTTATTACTCTACTAATGAAAACTGTTTGTGAATCTGTATTTTATATATAAGATCAGTGTCAGATTATATATTTTTCTCTGAGAGAATTACAAAAAAGAAAAAAACTCAAAAGTGTCCTTACTAATTACATTGGGTTGTATTTGGAAAAAGAAAGCATTATCTCTACGTCATAGATAACAGTTACTTGTGTTTGCTGAATCAGGAAAAGTTACCAATTTCATGGTATAATTTAAGTGCTTGTTTTACTTGAATAACTATTGTGATCATGGCAGTTTTAGATTTCATGTTCATCTCATCACTGAAGATGATCTTTTTATTTTTCCTTATGAATTATGACAGCATATACTCATTAGATTAAACAGAATATGACAGATCTGGAGGGGGTTGTGGGGGAAATTCAGAATCCCATTGGAAGGAAAAAAAAAGATTTATGTTGAAATTTTTACTCTTTGAATTATCAATATCCGCAGTTGCTGTGCAGTCACAATTCATATACGTAACAATGACAGTAAAAGTGAATGATTCGTAACCAAACAGCTATATCTTGTTTGTTTGTTTGTCTGTGTGTATGTAAATGTGTAGGTATACATGTACCAGTGTACATTTATGAGTACAAAACATGATTAGATGTTTTGTAGATAAATGCGTACATAGGTACAGGTATGAATATGCATATAACTCTTTGAGTGTGTGTTGCTTGAATGTGGAGTTCTTTTGCTCGAGGGTTGCTTACTAATTACATTGGGTTGTATTTGGAAAAAGAAAGCATTATCTCTACGTCATAGATAACAGTCACTTGTGTTTGCTGAATCAGGAAAAGTTACCAATTTCATGGTATAATTTAAGTGCTTGTTTTACTTGAATAACTATTGTGATCATGGCAGTTTTAGATTTCATGTTCATCTCATCACTGAAGATGATCTTTTTATTTTTCCTTATGAATTATGACAGCATATACTCATTAGATTAAACAGAATATGACAGATCTGGAGGGGGTTGTGGGGGAAATTCAGAATCCCATTGGAAGGAAAAAAAAAAAAGATTTATGTTGAAATTTTTACTCTTTGAATTATCAATATCCGCAGTTGCTGTGCAGTCACAATTCATATATGTAACAATGACAGTAAAAGTGAATGATTCGTAACCAAACAGCTATATCTTGTTTGTTTGTTTGTCTGTGTGTATGTAAATGTGTAGGTATACATGTACCAGTGTACATTTATGAGTACAAAACATGATTAGATGTTTTGTAGATAAATGCGTACATAGGTACAGGTATGAATATGCATATAACTCTTTGAGTGTGTGTTGCTTGAATGTGGAGTTCTTTTGCCTCGAGGGTTGCTTTTGGCTTGTATGAGCATATTCAGCAAGTTTCAAAAGCAAAAGCTGCTAAATTGTGAAAGGTGAATTTGTGAGGGTTGAATGATGAGATCAAAATGGATTATATACTCTTTATGTTATCATTATTTATATGAATATATTTGCAAGTGGTTGAGACAAGTATGTTTGTAAATCAGAGGAAAATATCCCTTTAGCGTATTTTATATATATTAAGATATATCCCCGCCCTGCAGAGCACTAGCTAGCGGCATTTGAAGCTGCGCCCACTTCAGTATTTTACCCTAATTCCGGTGATAGTTAGATGCGTTCAGTATTTTTGTTTTTTCCAGTAAGGATTATCAATATTTTTTTGTTATGGGTCAAGGGTGTAAGCAAATAAAGCTTATCCAATTTTCTTAAGCTTTTCTACATTATATAAACAGTTTCAAAGTAAGGTGAGGAAGAATGCCAGTACATTAGATAGGCCTGAAAAAAGTACCTTTGTTTTTGCTGGATTATTTGGCTAGAGAATTTAAGTAAAAGGGTAAATATTTTTGACAATTTAGGCAGCCATGACGAGCATGTATAACTTTATGATGTATAAGAGGACTTTGCAGTTTAAGGGTGATTTATAGTGATTTTTTTTTTTATATAAATGTCCCACCAAAATATCCTCCTAAGCAGAAACAAAGTAATATTTTTTATGTGCCTTAATTAGGACTCTTAATAGGACGTATCCACACATCCCAGGTAGCATAAGAGAGACTGTAGCAATGCACAAGTTAACTGAAATTTTTTATCAAAACTGTGATCTTATGCCTTCCAAGTGTTATTATTATTATTATTTTTTTTTGGTCCTGTTTTCTGAGCCGAGGCCTTGCATTCTGTAATAAAGGAAAGAAAATTAATATTCCAGTATATACTTTTTGGAAAGGGACACTATTTTTGGTACTTTTGTAGAATGCTTTTGTAGCTTTTCTAATAAATATTAAGCATATATTGGTGTGTTTTTGTATCCATATTTATAAAAAAAAGGAAAGAAAGAAAAGAAAGAAGAAAATTCTTGTGTGTATATGTATATGTATATATATATATATATATATATATATATATATATATATATATATATATATATATATATATATATATATATATATATATATATTTTATATATATATAATGTATGTATATATAATGTATGTATATATATAATGTATGTATATATATAATGTATGTATATATATAATGTATATATATGTGTATGTGTGTGTATGTACATACATATGTATTTATATATATACACTCCATTTACTGTCAATAAAAGTCATATGTTTCATATTTTTGTAAGAAGTATTTTACATGAATAAAAAGTTCTGGTTTTATGATAAAGTTACACATTATGATATTCCTCAAAACAAAGTCACTTTAATGAAATTACTAGAAAGAAGGTGACAAGTAGAGAGAGAAAATGAGTAATTCTTTTTTTTTTTTTTTTTTACTAAATTTAATTCACACCCAAACACAAAGGGTTTCTTCTGCAGAGTCTTTTGTTAGATACATATGTGAAATGCAACTTTTAATTTCCATGGTGGAGGTTACAAGGTAAATACCTGGATAGTCTTTGGAATGCTGCCCTGTTTTCCTTGGGAGATGATATAACAGACATCAGAACATTTCCATTTCGTAATTACTCTAAGGTATCTTAGCCGTGATCTTCTAGAGTGGCTGCATTACCTACTGATGATTTTTATTACTAAACGTCAAATGAAAGACCAGTTAGATTATTGCAACGGTCACATATTGTCTGTTGAAACTCTCTTCATCTCTTCCAATGAAACAGAGGCAAAGTACTTGATATACTGACAGTCTTTTTGCATGGATAGTAGAGGTGCATGTGTTTCTAAAATATCCTTATGTTGGTTCCCATTTATTACTATTATTATTATTATTATTATTGTTATTATTGTTATCTTCTTTTTTTGAAGTACATCTTTGTATGTTTTTTTGTTTTTTTTCTTTAAGCATGATTGGGAATATGCCATATGATAATCTTATATATGTATATGTGCTAGATTGCTTGGTTACCTTCCAGCATTGTGACCGTGACTGTCTCACTGGATGCTGATATTATGCACTGGGATAAATAATGCTCAGTTTTTTTTTGTTTTTTTATCATTCTAAATGATTATTTTAGTAGCAGTTATTTAGACAATGTAGGATTATGCATTTGCTATCATTTTCTAATTTCATTTCTGGTAGATTATTTTATCTAAGTATGAACCATTCTTTCTTTGCTGATTTTTGCATGAAAATTGTCTCCCTATTAGTTGCATTTTGCATCATTATTCATATAGCCTATATATGATGATATATTAAGTAATATTACCATGTGAATGTTTTTTTTTTTCTATTATATAAGTAGGTTTCATAGAATGTTTTGTTGTCCTTTTTAGATTGGAGTTATTTCATTACTTTGTGTGTGTAATTCTACATATTAATTTTGTCATGCCATTTATATATTTTGGTAAAGCATTAAAAAAGAGTAAAGAGTAAAGTATAGACAAATATTCATGAAAAAAAATTAATGGTTTGAATATCAGTAATAATTGAAATGATACATAAGTCTTTAGTAATTACGGTTAAAAAAAAACACATTGATCGTATACCAAGACAGTAAATGTACCTTTTACTATTGAAAACAAAAAATTTAAGATCTTGTAATAAGTCACTGCCATTCACCACAGGATGAAGATGATGACCATGACCATGAAAATGACGATGACCATGACCAGATGGACGGCCTTCGAGGGACCATTCCTTCGTCACTCAGCAGTCCCAACGGCCCGCCCCCTTTAACGCCCATTTCGCAGGTACGATTATTTTTTTTCGCTTTTTGTGTGCGTTCTTTCTTTGCATTTTTATGGTGTGTTTGTGTTTGTATATGTGTGCTTGTATTTGTGTGTGTTTAAGTGTGTTTGTGTTCATATGTGTGTGCTTGTGTTTGTGAGTGTTTAAGTGTGATTGTGTTTGTATGTGTATGTTTGTAATTGTGAGTGTTTAAGTGTGTTTGCTTCATAACTGCTTTTTCTGTGTACCTCATTTATGTTTGTGTTTATTAGTGTTCTAGACATTAATACTGTTGGTCATTTTGCAAGCCAAGATATAATTGTAACTATTTTCTTGTATAGAAATATAATCCTGCCATTCCGTAAACTGTATACAGAGTATGTAGTATGTGCATAGTTCTTAATGTCTTATATTGATATTAAAGACTTTTGTACTATTATATTTAAAATGATATGATGCAAAATCTTCAGATGTGTAATACTTTCTTTTAACAGTCTTAGTAGATGAATAAATGCAGATTGAATGCATTATTATACTCATTACCACACACATGGAAATAAATATAAACATATAGATGTTTATAAACAAATACATAAGACCTTTACACATTCACATGCATATGCTGCATACTCACTCAAATATGTACATGTATTGACCCACATGCTAGGATCGCACAAACACACACTCAAGCACAATTATACATGTACACGCGCACACACACACACACGTGCACACACACACACACACACACGTGCACACACACACACACACACACACACACGTGCACACACACACACACACACACACACACACACACACACACACACACACACACACACACACACACACACACACACACACACACACACATGCACACACACACACACACACACACACACACACACACACACACACACACACACACACACACACACACACACACACACACACACACACGCACATGT